GCTTGATGTCCATGTAAAGCAAATGTACTAATCAAGCTCCTCTTCTCTCTCCCCGCAGAATGGATGCTCAGATGACAGGATTATGTGCCGTTAAGAGCTCGTGGAGCATCGCCCCATCACCCCACAGCGAGCACCGCGAAGAACGAACAAGGCTACTTGATGTGACCACATCAATAAATAAAACCTTGAACTGTGTAGGGACGTTTCAAACTCCCAAAGCTAGAAAAAAATACCGTTGTGTGGACATCCTCCGGCAGCGAGGGTCTCTGTCACTCGCGGCTCTCGATTCATCAGAGGGCCCTGAGCTAAGAAGAAGATGACCGGCGGTGTCCAGATATAGACTGGGTTAGCCGGCGGACCAAGACAAGTTCAGTGCAACCAGCATCGCTTGTTGCTTGTAGAGTTTCTAAAGAAAGCTTATGTTTCTGTTACGCTCTTTGTATCTTGTGTAAACCATATAGAGAATTCAACATTTTGTAAAAGAAGAAAAGTTATTTTCTCAGATTCCTGAGCGACAAACTGTATTGTATATTACAATGCCACAGTATGTGAAGATATTGTTTTCTTACAATGTACCTTATTGGTGTTTTTATTAAAACAAGACAATTATTTTTGAACAAGAACCCTTCTGTGTCACTGTGTCTGTGTGGGGGGGAGAGACGAAGATACTCATAAAGTGGTGTATCACATGATTCTGAGGGGCTTCAGTACAGATCTCTATTCAGGAACTGTGGAAAAAAGAAGTTAATATGGGCTGTTACAGCTTTATTATCACTGTGATTAATATGCATTTAAAGAGCTTATCGTGTAGCTTAGTGCCAGGGGAGTGTAAACTGGTTGTCACTAAAAAGTGCTACACCTTCAAGAAGCTGTTAAGTCATTCAGGTAACATAAAACCAAGGCTGGTGGTAAACATAATGGCGCATAGCCAGTTAAATCGGTAATTTGCCTCTCTATGGGTCATTAACGTATCATATTACAAGAGGAAGTCTCACTTTAAAGATTTTGACAAATGCAGCCAGGGTTCGAAATAAACTTTAAAATAAAGTCATGGCAGTGCTGACAAATGTATTTTATTCAATGTGATCTAATATTTAAACGCGTCTGACATATTCACTTACAAACATCAGGTAATTTGTGTTTTATTGGGAAATAAATACGATTTTTATTTATTTATTTAATTATTTTTTTTAAAAAAGAGGCTTGTTTCACTTCATAAAACTTCCATTTAAAAATGGCGTTTCAATATGTTATCGTGTAAATCAGCGACTTTTTTCTCCCCCCTTCGTTCTCCTGCCGGCACTGCAGGGGTTAAAATGGCTTTGGCGAGGCGATTCGTTATAAGATTTATTCTGTCTCCCTGGTGCAATGTTTTTCCCATTTCCCTGCGGTGCGATGCGCACAGCTGCAGCCCCGGCGTGGCCAGTGTGTGATTGTGTTTGTGTGATAGCTTTGTGCCAAGGGCAGGGGAGGGCGGCGGGGCCCAGACTGAGCGGCGCCTCGGCACACCTGGGGAAGTTCAGGTTAAATAGCTCCACATTCCTCAACACACAGCTGATTGAAACATTAACAAACAGTAATCCACGGGCCAGGCCGCAGATGGGCCGGGAACCACGCCAGCACTGAGAGAGTTGCTCTCGGGTAGAGATTCCCACAGTACAGTCGTATGCCATAAGTTTGCTATTAATATATACACTTAAAAAAAAAAAAGACACAATATATTTATATAGAAAGAAACCTACGCTGCTGTTGGATAAATGTCCATAAGAATAGAATTAATTCACACATATAAATCCCTTTATGTTTTTTCTTCATACTCTTAAATCATGTTTTTAATTTTCTCTCAACATACATTATTATCTATATGGCAGATAAAGAATGTCTCTTATGTAATAATACAGAGCTGCAGAGAAAATACAGACCAGTGTGTTATTGTCTCTGTAATAAGTCTGTCCTCCATATTTTATTACCATTAAATCTAATCAGGGCTCTAACGTGGATTCTATAATTGCTTCAATCTTAATTAATATTATTTTAATCCCTGAGTCTATAAATCAAACCACACATCCCCTCATTCAGCACCCTCTGGTATTTAGCGCCCCCTTGCGAGCAAACAAACAAATAGCAGCCAGTATTTTTCTTTGCGCTGCCAAAGAATGAGTGTGTGAGGACTTTAGAGACAACAGCGCCCCCCTGTGGTGGCGGTGTCAGGAGGAATGTGTCTACCTGCTGCATTTCTGCATACTGTTACTTCATGCATGTATTATTAAATCTGAATTCCTCAGGACTGTTGGATTCCATAGCTACAAAACACACTTTTAAAAAAAATGTTTGCAGAAATATTCTGAATTAAACTACCCAGCAGCTCTTATAGGACTCAAAAACTGCCCCCAACTCTTCTAAACAAATGTTGCACACACTCATTAGTAATAAAATATATTAAATCCAGTCTGGTTTTTATGTTGTGTGCTTTTTTTTTTTTTTTTTTTTTTTTAAAGTAACACATATCAAATCAAATCAAGTTTATTGTCATTTTGCTGTACATACACAGGCAAGATGAGAAAGCCAGGATTCAATAACTTACAGCAATTTAAACAATTCATTTGTATTGATTGTACTGCATTTTATTTTATCTTTTTGATCTTATTCCATTTTTACCATCTAATCTTTTTTCCAGTTGCCTCTAGAGCACTTTAAAGCACCTTTCCCTTTGTTTGGAAGTGAATAAACTTTGACTGATCAATTCCACAACAATCCCTTTCCACTCTGCGAAGGCCTCACTTGCAGCCTTCCAACCATAAATGTGTGTAACTCCATGAGTCACTTTAAGTTGAAATGCTTTTGGCACTCATTTTGTACATTAAAAAAAATGCACAATTTAGCATTTCAAACAACACACTCGCGTATTTAGCATTTGCTGAAGTACCTACGTTCTACATTTAGTTGACTTTTGTATGTTCAACATTGTTTTTTAGGTTGTACGAATCTTTGTTTTTACCTCTACTTTGGTATCCATGTGTTTGGGCTCAGGCCTTCTGGGTGGTTTTGGGCAAAAGCCCGCGTCGGGAAAACACCGGTCTTATATAGCAGAGCTGCTAATCGGGCTGTACCAAGTGCCTGCACACCTTAAGGGGATGACAGAGTTTATTTTATATAAAAATTTGATTATTCATTCGACGTATGTTGACTCTTTAGATATATTTTGAATTTGTTTAATATTGTTTCTTTTGATTAAGTAGACAAACTGTGCAGTTTTACAGCCTTTGCTGTTAGTGTAGGTGTTGATGTTTTATGTTTCCCCTCTCAGATTCATTTAGTCTGATCAACCAGTGTATATATACTCCCTTGTTCAGAATTCTTGAGGTCACTTGAGTTTTCTTTGCTCAGTTTTATTTGTTTTTGCTATAGCTTTAGCTAAGTTTTGTACAATTTACATGCTTTATGGGCCCAGAATTCAGTATTACATTTTGTAACTTGGGGATTTTTGGGTGAAATAAAACTCCAGGGCTGCAAGGTGACTCGGTGGTTAGCACTGTAGCCTCACAGCCAGAAGGTCGCCAGTTTGCATCCCAGTGAGGACACCTGGGATCTTTCTGCGTGGAGTTTGCATGTTCTCCTCGTGCAGCGTGGGTTCTCCCCGGGTTCTCCGGCTTCCTCCAACACAGTCCAAAAACATGTTGAGCTTAATTGGTGATTCTAAATTGTCCATAGGTGTGAATGTGAGTGTGTTTGGTTGTCTGTCTCTAAGTGTAGCTCTGGGAAAGACTGGGGACCTGTCCAGGGTGTCCCCTGCCTTCACCCTAAGTCAGCTGGGATAGACTTATATAGTTCACATACTGCATACAAGTACAGAAATTCACTTGTTTATATCAATAAAAACAATTTCATTCATTCGTTTATTTTTTAAAGTGAAATTCTTTGATATGAAGGACTGCCAAAAGAGGTACGCAAAATTACCATAATCTCAGGAAGAAAACAAACAAACAAAAAAATGTCCTTATTATATAATAGATGAAACTGCCAAATTCAAGTTTAATACTGTAAATGTATTTCTAAAATTAGTGACAACCAGAAGTTGTAACCGTTCTGTAGTTTCTCATTAGTTAAATGGGAGATGTGCTTTCAGAACAAGATGTTGACTAATTGTGTTTTCATCAGTGTATAATATCTATAAGCACTGATAATCAGTCAAAATACAGTTTTTATCATATCTATTTCTGCTTTTGAGTACAAATATACTCAACACACATGATGTAATTGAAACTTAAGAGCTACAAACTGTATTAAAGGATAGAATTTTTAAAAATATATATGGTTATATTCCATTATTTTACAACACTTTATTGTTGCCCCAGCCATCAGAATATTAAAGTTTTTGTTCATAGTGTTGTTGAAATATCATTCCACGTGACCAGATGCTCCAGTAAAAATACTAATGATCAGTATTAATCATTTAAACATGGAATAAATGATACATGATTTAAAGGGGATACTTTCCTTTAATACCTAAAGTGAAGTTTTCAGTCCCTGTCAGTGTTTTGGTTTTTTGATTACCAGCAGTACTGTGTACATTGTTGCTGAAGAGTTAGCTAATCCTAACCATTTTATATACCAGAGGGTAGTTTAACCTCCAGCAAAGGAAAAAAAAAATCTCTAAGATAATGTTTGTGGCATTGCTGTATGAAAATGTGTAATCTGACGAGCTTTATAATGAGCTGAAATTGGCAACTCTTCTCAAGTTTCAATGGTGTAATTTTGAAAATCAAAGACAGGCAGTTTTTCTTCTGCCAGAATATTAGACAAATGGTAATGAATCATTAGTTTCCATCAATAACCTGACAGCAGAAGCCCTCGTTTGTTATGCCTGATCAAACTAATTATTCTGTCACTGCAGCATATTGGCTGATATTTACCGTTACCAGATTGGAAACTGAGTAAATTCCAGAGAGGCATCATTGCTCATAATCAGAGTCAAAAGATAATTGGAAACCGAGAGTCAAGACTGTTTAAATAGAAATTTGTATTTACATAAATTTCAACATCAACAGAAAAAAATCTGTAATATACATCCTGTAAAATGACAGCTTATCTTACCTCCAAGGAAAAAAACAAAAACAGAAACAAACCAAATGATCTCTTGCCTCTTTTGCACTTCATTCAAACTCTACAAAGTTTCTTTTTTTTCCTGAAGTAACAAAAATCTGGACATAAAATGAAGTTGTTTTCCTGAAAAACAGATGAGATATTGATATGTCTTAAAGTGGATTTCATTCCATTGGTATTCCTCTGTCACAGCAAAACATGCTTTCTTTTCCAAGTGTAAAAAAAAAAGAAACAAAACAAAAAAACGTTCTGCTGTGGGGTTGAGAGTTTCCAGTCCTCTTCACACTGCAATGATAGCTTCCCACTGTGGAACAAACTATCCCATGTCAATAACCATCCTACGCTTTTTACAGATGTACACGTGTACCCATTTACCATCAGAATAATATAACACATATCATAAAAAATGTACACCAGAAACCTCAGAAACTATACACAGATGTGGAAAAATATCTTTGGATTGCGCATGTTGAAAAGGTAGATTCAGCGAGTTGATAACAGTCAAAAGAACATGAGAATAAAGATACACTTGACAGACTGAGCTGGTGGGAGAACGCTGCGAGGACCGGGCTTCTTGGCGAACTGACGAATCCCGTGTTCCAACCTTCGCCGTACTGCAGACAAACGCGGCACAACTCACCTCCCGACAAAATCATTTCGTCGATGTCGTCTCGGTGTCCTGACAGAATAAAACGTTCCCCACCTTCCACTAAAGCGTCTGATGGCGTCAAAAGCTTCAACCTTCAACACATCCGACCCTCACCACGAGTAAAAAGTGCCTTTCTAAAACATGAAATACATAACTTTTTTTTTTTTTTGGAAAATGAAAAAGCATTCAGAAAATGACAAACGAGGGGAACGGACACCCGAACGCGCCTGCAATATTTGCAAAAGCATAAAAAAAAAAACAGTAAATCAACCAAATCAGTATTGACCTATGGGACACAAAAATACAACCAGGTCTCATACTTTGTGCAAGAATGGGCCTTTAAAAAGCATGTTTGATATATTTTGTAGAATATTTACAATTCATATTCACAGAGGACATGAGACATCTAATACTGCAGTACCATTTGCTTGCTTATATCAGGGATTATGATGCTCAGTTATAGTCTAAAGCATAGAGGCAAGAGTTATTGCTCCAATCTGCATAACATAGTAAACTGTGTGCTTATAGCTTCCACTGACTTTTAAGAATGAGGCGCATCCAAAGGATAAGAAAAGGAGGAAAAAAAAAAAAAGAAAAGAAAAGAAACCCATTGTTGTGAAGGCATTGAATCTCTAGTAAGGCTGTAATGATGAAGAAATATTGCATCAATCTTTTTTTTCCCACACAGAAGCCTCCAGGTAAAGTGCAGCCACAGCCAGTTGTACCGTAGTCCTGTTCTGCATCCTGGCTGTGACGCTGAATACTGCCCGACCGCTTCAAGTCAGTCACCTGAACACATACAAACACACACACACGCACACACACTGCTATTTTATGATTGTGTGTGTGTGTGTGTTTGTGCAAGGCTTCAGCAAAGGGGTGAAACCGAGCACATATTAGTCCTCCACCTTCTCCAGGGCGAACAATGTGTTGTGCTGAGTCTTCTGTGTCACATTTTAAGCTGGGCAATTCCTACAGTGTGTGTATGTGTGTGTGTGTGTGTGTGTGTGCACATGTTTGTGTGTCCAGCACGCACTGCCACAGCTGAAAGGGTCCAGATTCTGCAGTCAGCCACAGATCCTCAGCAATACTTCTGCAGAGATGGAGAAACAGTGAGATGTGTAAGCCCCTGTAGAGGTTTGTTGAAACAGAATTTGTCATTTTTGAAATATAATTCAATAGTTGTTTATAATGCAGCCTCATTAAAGTCCGCTGACTTTCTGTAAGTCAAAGTACCAGCTACCTGATCGGGTCCCATTGGTATTCTGCCCATTCCCATAGGGTTCATGCCCATTTGGCCCTGCATCTGTCCTGGCATTTGGGCCATCTGTCCTGCACCGGCCCCACTGACCGGCCCTGGTCCACCCATGGAGTTGTTCATCATCATAGGTCCAAACTGGCCCTGGTTGCCCTGTTGGGGGAACTGTTGCTGGGGGTATGAGCTAGAAAAGCACAAAAATAAAAGAAGTTTTGACACACATCAAAAATTACAAACCTACACTTGAATAACTCAGTTTTATTTTGTCCAACAAAGCCTGATGCTACATACTTGTTTCGTGGCATGCCGCCCTGTGGCCAGCCTTTCATCTCTCCAGAGGGGTACATGTGTCCTCCCTGTGGAGTTCCCTGCATCCCTGGCATCATGCTGTTCTGTGGAGGGCCTCCCATTCGTCCTGGAATCATATTCCCTGGCGGGCTGCTACCTGGAGGAATAAATGATGGGTCCCCCTGCTGGTTCATCGCTGCAAAAACAACAACAGCAATGAGGGAACAGTCACGAGTGTGAAACTTGGACATTCACAAGGAAATGATACAGCTGACTCTGTCTCCGCCAACTCACCATAGTTAGCTCCATAGTTGAAACCCTGCTGTCCAGGCTGGGTCATGGGGGGACCTCCCATGGGGCCGTCCATGCCTCCTGGTGCTGTGACATTAGGGGGAGGACTGAAGCCTGCTGCTGGCCCCTGACCCTGACCCCCCTGCTGCTGTTGCTGTTGCTGTTGCTGCTGCTGCTGCATCAGCATCATCATGCGCTGCCTTCTCATCTGCATGGTCATCATCTCCCTGTTGCGCTGAGCCATCATCTGAACATTCGTGAAACCAGGCTGCAGATAAACACAACACTTCATGTTAATCAGGTGAATGAAGATCAGAGTGCCTTTAAAAAAAGTGGCAAGTGAATGCTCCTTAAATGATATGTTCTGTTCCGACTACACACCTGACCACTCATGCCTGCAGGCTGCATGCCTGGTTGAATGCCTGGACGCATGGCAGGGTTTCCTCCAGGGGCATTTTCCATCTTTATGCCTTGTCGTGTTTGGTTCATAAACTGTCAGATGAGACCAGATAAAGACGGGTCATTATGTCATGTTTACAGTTAACTACAGTACTAAATAACACACACCCTTATAAGAAATAACATACTGTATTATCAATTTTGCGATATGGAAGTGCCCCTGCAGGGTGAATATTGTCTGTGTGATCACCTGCTGTCCTTGTAGTCTCTGCTGTAGTTGCAGCCGAAGAGGTTTGTTTGCATTCATTATGCGAGGTCTTGTCATGTTTACGCGAGGGTTGCCCATACCCCCCATGCCTGCCATGCCTGGAAAGCCCCCTGTCTGGCCCATCTGATTCATCATGGGGTTGAAGCCTCCTGGAGTCTGGCCTTGCATTGTGTTGCTGCCATAACCGGGCTGCATGCCCATGGAAGGGGGCCCTGGGGGGCCCGGGTAGCCCTGGCCATACATTGGTTTTTGGTCCACGCCTATGGAGGAGTCTGGCCCTGGAAAAGGTTCTGATGGAGGACACTGGCCCTGGCCTTGATCGTGGCCTTGCTGACGGCCTTCAGGTCCCTGCGGCTGGTGTACAAAGACGTTGGGCATTTAATTAAGCTATAAAGTCTGTACAACAGCACATTATACACCTAAATCAACTGCACAGAAGCACAAGTATCAAATCAGGCTGACTGACTGCAGAACAAGCATTTACCAAACTTTTGGAATTTAAGAACATTTACTATGAGCTAACAGTCTAATGGTTACAACACTGGTAATGGAAATACAAAGTGCATAACAAAGCATGTTAATACCTGGCCTACGATTTCAGGGATGCCTAGAGCTCGATCTATTTCCTGCAGAGCTATGACATCTGCAGTGTTGAGCAGAGAGTCCAGCTGGTCCAGAAGTGCCCGTTCGTCACTTGGGCCCTCGCTGTTGGTCAGGGGCCCCAGCAGCTCATCCAGGGGGTGTGCAAACTGGTCTCTAATCCAACAAATGACACAGGACGTGTTAAGTCACATCAAGGAAATATGACCACAGTCACAGGCTGTTAATATCAGAATATGAATTTAGCTTGAGATCTATCACGTTAGAAATGATCCGTAAGGACACTATTGGAACTGGTGCCAAGAGATTACCTGTTTGTGTTACTCTGTGGTCTGTCCATTCCCATGGCAGAGTCTGGCCAGGAGGGGGACTGAGGTGGGGGTCCATGTCCAACAAATGGACTCATTCCCATATTGGCTTCATTGGTACCTACAGAGGTAATAGGGGGAGATGTATGATCAAAAACAATCTTCCACCAATTGATTCCTTATTTCAATTCAGATATTTACATCACAAACAAACAGCTAAATCACGAAACATACATTTATACTGGACAGCAGAAATATGTGACGTACCCATATCCATGAGTTGCTGCTGCAGCATTGACCTGGTGTTTCCAGGTGCGCTGTTGGAGCGATTGATCATGGGTCCTCCCATTGGCCCAGAGCGAACCATGCCTGGGTTTCCTGGTCCAGCCACTGGGCTGTTGCCAGATCTTGGCATCCCCCACTCCCCTGGCCCTGCCATAGGAGGGCGCTGATGAATACCCATACCTCTGATCATACCCCCTGAAAAACACAGAAATCATTTAGAGTTTTATCAGTAAGCTTAGTAACACAGTGAAAACAGCACCCTAAGTGTTTGCAAAATTTTTAAAGCAAGTATTTCTATGCAATCTATTCTGTGGAACTCAGGTCTCCACAAAACGCGGCAAACTTGAGTAAAAGAAGTAAGTGTTTAAATTACTTGTTGGATTGGCCCGGGGTGGACACACCATGCCCCCATGAAAGCCATTGGGCATAGGTCCAGGTCGAATAGGAGCATCCATGATCTCTTGTTTGACCAGCGTAGGACAGGGGACGTTCCGTCTTGTAGCCAGCCCACCTCCTACCGGTCCATCTCCACCCATAGGCTTAGCATCCATGGACAAGGCTCGTTGATAGGCACTACGCTGAGCTGGAAGCATTGGGCCTCTCTCCCCATCTGAAAAACACATAATACCAGGTTTAAAATACCTTTGCACACTCAAGTTTGATGACTGCCAGTGACTGAAGAAGATCCACAGTGTGAAACCTAGTAGAAGATTTAAATATTCTTTACTGTCTTGAACACGCACAGCAAGTGATCTGACTGACTTACCATGTAAACTGTCTGAAACAGTTCCCTGTTTGCTTCCCACTTCCTTTCCACCTCTGGAGTCTGGCTCGGGGTAAAAGCCAGAGTTGTTCCTCGGGACACCCAGGATGGTCTCCAGGGTTTCATTCTGAACCATCAAAAGACAACAATGATCAAATACAATGTCAAACTGGCTATTTTAAAATACACCTGTAACTACATGCATGCAAAACAGATTTTGAGTTTAAGTCCTACCTCATCAGATGGCTCCAGCTTGACCTTGCCATCCATGCAGTGGGGGTCGGAGCTGGTGACCCCAGCCCCCTGAGCTCCTCTCCCATCCAAATCCTCCAGCTTTGGCTTCATATCACCACTTTCTTTAGAGTCGTCTTTATTGAGGAGGTAGTGAAGGAGGGCGCGGGCTTTCTCCTTCTTGGAACTGTTCTGCTCCTGCTTTGATTCTGATCCTCTAACCCCTCCAGCGGCCTCAGGCCCTGGCTCCGGTGCCCCTGAATCCAAGCTGCTCTTTCCTGTGGCCTCAGCTGTGATGCGAGCCACTTCATCAGGTGTGTTCCCATTCTGCAAGAGCTTGTGAAGGATCTTGTGCTTCGCCTGCAGTGACTGACTTGGTAAATGTCCTGTCCCACCAGAAGACGACACAGCGCCATGGTTCCCGCTTGTGGAGGACGAGACTCCTGTTGAAGAGGAGGGACTGGTGACACCAGCTGTTCCATCCTTAGCCTCAGGCGTGGAACTCGGCCCGGAGCTTGGCGGGTGATTGGGTGGCACCAGCTCGTCTGTAGGGGAGGTGAGGAGCTGCAGAAGCTTCTTGTGGTATTTGCTGTCAGGGACCCGTCGGTTGGATTCCCCGCCACCCAGACCTGCCTCTCTGCTGGCTTGGCTGTCTGGTTTGTCAGGAGGACCCTCACTGGTGGGGGTATGTGGAGGCTGCTGAGACTGCTGCTCGCCACCAGTCCCCAGTGAGCTGCCTGGGCTCTTGGAGTCAGAGTAGGCTGGGGGGCCTGGTTTACAGGGTCCTCCTGCAGTCTGATTGGTGGAGTTGATGCTTGGGGAACTGTCAGGCTTGTGAGGAGGAGGAGGAGGAGGAGGAGAGGTGAGTGGGGAGGGCATTGGATTGCCCACTCCCTCACTGATGGCTTGGAGAGCATTCAATGAGCTGCTGGAGAAGCTGGTACCTCCTCCTCCAGAGTTACCAGCATTGGTGGAGCTCATGGGAGAGTTCATACCTGCAAAGGACACAACCAGAGACAATCCATGAAGTGAGTAAAACAAATGTCAGAAAACATTTAAGAAGGAGTGATTATCTACAGCTAATTAACCTGTATATTAAACATTGCTTTTTGAGAGTTCATAAAAAACAACATTTGGCTCATACCTCCAGGAGAGAATGGACTGGCACCTGTCTTGGGGCTTCCTCGGACTCTGGGTGAACCCATGACATTGTGTGGAGGACCGTTGATCCCTGGACTGGCCTGAGGAGGGCTGGTCATTCCCATCCCGTACCCTCCACCTCCAGGTCCGCCTCCGGATCCATGGAACTGACCCATCTGCTGATGTTGGTGCTGCTGCTGCTGATGCATGCCGTGATGTCCCACCTGATTCATCTGGTTCATGGATCCCATTTGGTTCATTGAGTTCATGGGCGAGTTCATCTGATGCATGGAATTCATTTGATTCATCTGATTCATTTGACCCATGTTGTTCATCTGATGCATGGAATTCATTTGATTCATCTGATGCATTGGATTCATCTGATGCATGGAATTCATTTGATTCATCTGGTTCATGGGGTTCATGCGGTTGCCCCCAGTGTACGGAGGCACTCCTCTTTGTGGCATATTGCCCTGTTCAGCCATGGCGTAGCCCCGGTTCATGCCCATGCCACCTCCTGGGCCCACGTTCATTTGCTGGTTGGGGTTGTTCACACCCATATTTTGAGGCCTCATGCCGCCACCCTGGTTCCCACGATAACCATTGTGCTCCCTTCAAGAAAATACAAATGGCAATGATGGAAAACAGAACAAAAGTTAAGCTCTAGACTGCAGTAAGACAGTTGTTCAACTTTGGCGAAACCATATTCTTAGTTTGTTTTAATTGTTAGAGCATTTATACCTTTGTAGCAAGTGTGTGGACAGGAAAGAATGCGGTTCATTTGTGTTCGGATTCCTACAGAGGTCACTCCTTGTCTGGGCTGTAACTGGGGTGCCATCAGCGAGCGAGAAGCGGTAGAGTGGCGTCTCTGCGTGGCCATTATTGAATGCTGAAGCAGAAAACAGGAGAATTGAAGCCCCCCAAAACAACCAACAACAAATAAAACAAACACACCATCAATAGTTAAAAAGAGTTGCCAATAAACCATCTGTCATAGGTTGCGACACAAATACAGAAGTTCTTATTTTACAAAACACAAAGTCACAATATGGATACCATGCTTTAAGTCAAAACATCAATAAAACCTTTTTTTTTTTTTTTTTACCATTTCCCTTTTATGTAAACCGATGAGCTGATATAAGTGCGTTACTTATTATGTTTTAAGATAACAAATTGTTACTAACACAGACAGCAATACAAGCCGTCCAGTCATCAACAGTGGAAAGATTTTGCTGTGAACCAACTGACTGACTGCACTATCACAGTGAAGCAAGTGTAGAAATGAAGTTGCTATAGCACACATCTGTTTATGTAGGATAGGACCTTTTAGGGAGTGACTGTGACAGGTGAGGTTAGTTGGTATGGAGGTGCAGAGCTACATACCATCATGATAGTGACGTTTGAAGGACCAGGGTTGACCTTCACTGCGATTGAGAAACATCTGCATGCAGCGTCTCACCAGATCCTCATAGCCTGGACGCATCGTTGTTTGAAGAGAGCTTTGCTGTTCAATTTCAATCAGTTTGCCTACAATAGAAGATGCATAATTAGTATTACAGAAAAGGTACAGAAAAGATAAAGTCTTGTCGTAGTAAAATAAAACCATCAGTGTATTAAGACATCTCTATTAAGACATTTATGTAGAATAAAATGGCTTGAAAAGACACCTTATTTTAGTACAATTAATGAGGGTATAAATGGGGAATTTAGATTATATTATTTATTTTCACCTGTGACAAAGACAAAGCATTAACAAATACCACTTACTTACTTAACTTTGCCAAACCAAAAACCTTTGCAACTGTCATGTCACATGTATGCTGCTATGCACATGCTTGGACTCTCTTGGCAAATTTCAGATCTTGTTTAATTTGAAAGTGCAAATATGTAAAAACAACCCCTGCAGTATGATTTCCTGCTAACTCGCCACTGGAGACCCTGTTTGTGCATCAATGCTGCATAGACCACTAGTCCTGTGTCAGCTAAGCCGTACTGTAGCGCCTTTGCATTCATAAAGGAGTCTGCTGCCTTCCTGCTCAGCAGACGAGGACTTTTATCTGAAAGTTTTCATGGTCTTACAGACCTTCCACGGTTCCTCTTAATTACATTTCTTAATGACAATTTAAACAGTAAAATATTCCAGCTGCAAGCACTTTGATATCTTCTGACAGCCTTCATCTGCTTTCTAGGCATCAATTAGCTTAATTTCCACATTGGCTGTAGCTCAAAGAAGCCCATGGTTGTTGAATCTTAGTACAAGGTTTTAAGTGTCAGAGAAGTTATTAAGCTCTGGAAGTGTTATGAGCTAACAATTCCTGACCTGTCTTATATGTAACAAGAAGTAACTTAAAGCCTGAAGAGTAAATGATTGTATTTACATGTACACAAGTTATGATGCTCATCAAAGTTTTGGTTATCTGGTTATTCGTGTCCCATTATACATGATTAATCCTAGTCCAAGTTACTGGTTACTGCTGCTGTTTGAGCCTGTGATGTTTGGTACATAAGATGGTAATTTATTCTGACATTCCCATAACTGTTCGCCTAACCTTACATCACCTTACATCGCGCATTTACAATTTCATTTGGCATTGCAAAGCATTTGGCTAATTCACCTTATTGTCAGCAATGAGAGAAGAGAGAGACAGGGAATATTAAACATGTCCTCCACATGCAGGCATGACTGGAGGGACAGGGTTATAATGACAGAGTTCAAATCTCTGTAGGAGTCTGGCATCGTTTTACCAGCTGTGAGACACAGTTGAACCATTTATGAGACCAGAGAAAACATCAAAACAAGTTCCACTTCTGTTATGGATGAGAGTGGCCATAGTGTTGTACAAACAGGGCAGCTGTGGGGAACACTGCTAGGTTGCTAACCAGTTTGGGATTCACAGAAGCCCAGTCAAAAAATCGGTTTGCATGTTCTGTTGTGGTATGGTGGACAAAACTATGAGCCACTTCATAAAAGTCACAAGCCAGGAGAAAGCAATGGATGGCTTGTGTTTCTGCCACTTCATGACCAGTCACAGTGGCTAAAAACTCTGATATGTGTATACATGCAACTGTATTGTGTTTTCTTTTAGAGTACTTCAACTGGCATAGGTGAGTTTCTCAAAAACGGGATAAAGGCTTATTCGGGTCTCTGAAATCAGGATATGCTGTTTACATGTGCAAACACAAAAACAGGATATCTAAGTCCATGTATACGCAGCCACTGAAGTTACTATGTAGAAAGGTGTCCATACTTTGGAACATACCAAAATTGCTGTTTATTTTTTATTGATGATAAAAAGACTAAAATAACAAAGAATTAAAAATAGCTTTTAAAGAAAAGCTCATTTTTAATGCCTGTTTGCTGCAGGGGTTCTATGCACTTCTTTTCTATTCAAAAAAATCAACGAAATATGAAATTTGCTTAGGAACGCTAACATTTTTATACAGCTATACACAAAATAAATCCACCTGAGTTACTCATGTCTGTTAGATGCACCACAGTGGACACTTACCAGACAGCTCGTGGCGAGTGCTAAACCTCTCTGTCCTTTCTACTGCAGTGATGCGTCGTGCCACACAGATCATACATGACTGCAAATCTGAATAAAAAGGAGTGGAATGTTAAGTCCTTATTTGACGACAATTGTGAGAAACTGGACAGTCAACATGTTCTTTGTGAATGCAGCACTTAAATTAAAGCAAAACAAATTGAGCAGTAAGCATACAAGAAGACATATCTGCACACTACATGGAACTGCACAAATAATCACAATGAATCCTGTTTGGTGGCACAAATGCTAGTTAACTCATATCCTCCTAAATGTGAACGGATATTTATGCATTGCAATATTACATTGATTTCTTAATCTGAGAACTACAACAACAAAAAACCATTCAAAACTCTTAAAATGATTTTTACCATCTCCTTCCTCCATCATAGCCCGAGGCTGGGTGAGGGCAAAACACTGCATGGTCTCATAGCGCTGGCCCCCGGGCCTCTCTTCTGACATCCCATGACTCTGACCATGAACAAAGTTCACCAGCATACGACAGTTGAAGGTGTGACTTTTCTGACCGGGTGCCTCTCCGCTCCATGATGCTCCATTTGGCGCTGTGAAGAATAAACAGATTTATGTAAACCAGTGACCATTTCTGTGTTACTAAGTAGTACGTGCTAACTTGAATGTGTTCGTACAAACACAAGCAAACATATCTCACCATTGGACTTGGGAAGATTTTTGTGGAACTCCTCTCTGTCCTCGTCATGGATGATGTTGTAAACACTGGTGTTAATCAGCTCCTCCTGCTTGTACTGCAGGTACTGTGTCACATTGTCTGACACAAATACAATGCTGCCCTCGCGGTTAACCACAAAGAGAAAGCCATCCAAGGCCTGGGAACAGCAGGAGCACAAAAACTGAATGAGATGAAAACTTAACAATGTAGATAATGTTAATTTTTGGTTATTATGGCAAATTCGTTCCTTTAGAAACCAACTGAGACATTTTCATCAACAACATGAGGGCTATGACAGTGAGGCACCAGTCCAGCATATGGAAGGGCAGCTAATTGGTCTTTTGCCCCCCCAAGTGTCCTGAAGCTGACCTGTAGGAGCAGCGGCCCCAGATGGTCCTTGTCAATGACCCCTTGACCAGTGGAGGACACATCCGCCTTCTGAACATCGTCATCGCTGCAAGAACTCTTTCCTGAGAACAGATAAAAACACATGACACTGCTCATGAAAAGAATTACAATTTTACAATTTTGCACCTTTGCATCATCTGTGTATTTGCCGGCACTGCACAAAAAGACAGTTTTTGTATTTCCCTTCATGATACCATCTGTCATAATGTCTTGATTTCTAGTCAGTTATTCTTTGCTTTACACCCTCTCAAAAACAAACACTTTTTCTGGCCACCAGATGGCAGCACAAGTCATGAATGCGTGGTTAGCATGCCTTTCTATATTTAAGATCAGCATGTGTCTGAGGCTTTGTTAGATACCACTCTATATAGCGGGGTCATTCGTGGCGCAAGACACTAAGCATGATGAGAAACAGTATGACAGTGGATTTAATGCCATTTTGAAGGATAGAAGCTGTACAACCAAACATAAAGGAGAAAGCAGTCACTGACAATAACAATTACACACACACAAGAAACTGACCGCAAAAAGGAAAAGATGTGTAAACAGAGGGTAGGAAAAGGTGTGCTAAATAGACAACAGACAGAAAAGAGAAGAAAACAGAGAGGCCCTCCATCATTCCCATCATGTAACTATGGTAACCTGGCTGCACAACGCCAGGACCCACAGTAGCCAGCTGTGACCCTCTGGGTAGATTCCAATATGATTGCCCTCTTTCTTCCTTAGCCACTTATCCTCACAGATCTAATCTCAACCGAGCTAAAAACAGGTGGAGGAAAATGTCTGTCTTTGCGTATTTAATCATGTCAAATCTGCAAAATGATTGGAAAATGGCCTACGGATAGGAGCGACTCTCTATAAGGTCTGATTTCTGAGTCTCCAGTGTCATTAGTCTCCCAGAGAGAAGCAGGGTTTGGCACTAACAGATACACACTGTCAGTGACAGCCTTGAGCCATGACCACCAAGGATTGGTCTCAATTACTGGTGTTCATTTACCCCCAGCGATACAAACAGCCAAACTGGCTGTCGGTCTGAAGCGGCCTGGCCATGAACCAAACACACCACTTCATCACTGGCATCATCTGTCCTGCAGCAGGGTACTTGACAAGACTAACTTTATCCACTGTTTACTCCCCAAACACGTAAAGACAGAAGGCATTAAACTTTGTCATATGTGTCTCTGATCATGACCAGGAGTGTATGGGTGTAAACTGTACAGAGGTGGTACCTTGCTCTTTGATTTGTCTGATCTGCCTCACGGTCTCCTTGAGGATGGCACATTTGTCAGGCTTGACGTTGAAGCTGTCAATGTTGGAAAGGTTGGCAGAGATGAGCTCAGCCAGCTCCTCAATGTACTTGCTCTCCTGTTCCCTCCGACGCTTGTCACACCTGCTGGGGCGCCAAGGGGATTAGACATGTTGCCATGACAACCTCACCTCCCCATGCCCCATCCGTATGCAGGCCATACGGTCATACAGGGCTCAGATGCCTCTGATATTTTGTTAGCAGCAGACACACTTTTGAACCAGAGATGTTTACGTAAGGCTGCATACTGACCTCATGCACTTGTTGACATTCACAGTAAAAACAGACATAGCAGACTGATGTATGAAACACAAGTAACAGAAGTTATAGCACTCACCCTAAGCCTGGTGTGTCACAGGTGGACAATTTACGTTTGCGGTCGGAGCACAGTGGCTCCAACGAGTTGTCTCCTACGCCACTCATCTTCAGCGCATATCAGCACCTAAAAGGTAAACACCCACAATCATATACACACACACAGAGACACACACACACACAGACACGCACACACACAAACAGGCGGTGTGACCCAAACAGAGAGAATTAACTTAAAGATTGTTTCATATGTTCGCATCTGTGTGTGGTGCAATCAAATCAAAAGATAAGTGTAGATTGGAACATGCTATGAGCTGTGTGTGTGGTTTTTTTTTGTTAAGTCCACTCAAATGAATGGCTATAAAAGAAGTGACTTCCAGGGGAACAGTAGATTGTAGATTACTACAGATTTATAAGGGCAGACCATCCAGTTAGTAAAGCAGCCTTGGTTTTTGCTCTGTGTTTGATGGGAGTGAAATCTCATCTGTTCCACTGCGAGGAGCGACTGATGATGATGTAGTGATTTGGAGCCTCGGGGGAGATGGGTCATCCTGCGTTCAGCCAGCCTGCCCGCTAGAGTGATACCACTCTGCAAGCAGCAGCAACACACATACACACTGCGTATACAAACCGTTTCCCGTACACTTGCATGCTCAGGCATGTCACAGCACAGTCTGTGAGAGAAGATTGCTGGTAGCTACTGTCCCAGCAAGGCATATATTCACTAGTCTGCTTCTTTGTCTAACTGCCCAAGACTGCACAAGTAAAAAATCCACACTGCTCAGGCTTGTGGAGCCTTGAAACAATCCAGGCGAGGCTCCACAGTGTATTGCAATGACTAGCAAGAATTATCACTCTTCCGCATTCTCTTTACTCTGCAGTCTACTAGGCTACATCCGTTCTTTCTTCCAATGGGTTTTAACTTCTGTTTCCCCCATACCATCCTCAGACAACCCCTCCCTTCTCTCCCTCCCTCCCTGGAAGTAGCAGTACTGAGCTGGGGACCCTGCCCTTGTTTTCTTGCTCTGGCATTGCCCTGTGTCTGACCCCTCAGAGTTCACATTAGAGGAAACCCTGTGGCCAGGTTCTAAGGTCATTGCTCTTTCCTATTCCCACCCAGAGATGCACAAAAAGCTGTAGCATGCGGCTGTATAACCAGATTGTTCTACTACAACCCTATCCCGGACTTTGTGTCTGCATGTGTGAATGTGCACACATAAGCGCCCAGAGTGAGCTCATTCCAGAGAGGAAAAGTGTAGAACGGATGGGAGCCATTATGCAACTCCCGCTCTGCAACTGCAGGTTAGGACATGCAGCCCAGTCACCCACCACTACCACTACTTCTACTACTATTACTACTAGAAGAGCACCAGGTCTCAGACATGCACTCTGTGCCATAAATCTGCATCGCATGCTTCTTGTCTGTCTACCTTTCAGCACCCCTCTCTAAATCTGCCTGTCGTGCGCCGGCTGTGACTCTTGCTGCCCTCCCTTCTCTTTTTCTTCCTTCCTTCCTGGTTTCTGTCCTAAAGCTCACCTCTGCAGCAGTGGAGAAAGATGACATCAGCCTTCAGTCAGCCTCACATCCTGAAACGGACAAACAGCAGAGCTGCGGGCTGCTGGGAGTCTTTTTGAGAACAGGGAATGCATAACAGGGTAGTACTACAGGGAAGCTATGCTAAAAACCAGTGAATGTAAAGAAAACAACAACTCCGTTTTCATAGGCGTTTGACAGCATCAACTCATAACTTACCAACGTTTTAATGCTCATATGTTTCATTAGTAGACTCATGTTGACATTTTAAACTTGCTAAAAGTTGCACATGACTGAGACACCCTATGAGTAGACAACACCTCTAGAGCAGAGTAAGAGATTATGAGCAGCAGCCCACCAAAACCACAGATGAGTCTCAACAGGCCTGGCAGTATTCCCTTGAACCTGAATCAGCTTCATCTGACAATGTGAAACTTGCTCAGGAACAAGATGAAATTTGTCACAAACCATCAGGTACACAGACAGCAGCTGCCAAAGTGAGAAATATAACATCTCCTAGTTAAAAACAAAGTGGTCTGAATATTTAATGGATTTTCCACCCAGGGGGAGTACAAGCAAGTGTCTGTGTGTGTGTTTGTTTTTACTTGTACCACATGCTCACCTTGGCCAGTACAAGCCCCAGTCAAACTCCATTCAGGGTCTAGTGTCACTTCAATGTCTCCACATCTCCTGTAAACAGAAAGGGGAAAACTTAGGTCATTGACTGTGTTTCTGGGTCTGGATGTCTCTGCATGAAAACATTAAGGCATTCCTCTGCTTGCTAAGAAAATAACATGGGCTCTTTATGTTTTTCTTTCATAGAAATTCATGGGAAAACCGATTTCTAAAATTGCACAGGAAGTCACAGCAGATAGCATCCTGTTTGCGTCCTCCCCTCAGCCAGTTCCACTGCGTCATCACTTCCCTTTCCTGGAAATGTGGCCACTCATCCACCCTATTTACATATTCTTTTTATCATTCGGGTTCACTGTCATCCTATTTCTTACACACCTTGTACAATTGTTTCTGGCCATCATGTCCAAAGCATAGCTTATTCAGCATAAAGAGAACAATGCAATGTCCAAATGATTCTCACAAAAGGACAACAATTCCTGCAGAGCTGATCAAAATGATGCCATCTTTCGTTCCTACCATTTATTTTCAATAAACGTGTGCATGTGCTCTGTCAAAGCTTCCCTGACCTGGTACTTCAGAATCATATTACTACACTACAGAAGTCCCTCTGGTGTGGTGTTTTGTGTTTTCTCATCAGAATAACCGTATAAGCTTTCATCAACATGACAGAAAAAAAAAATCTCTCTTGGGCTTGCCATCAGCATTGATGTCCTATTTCAAAATAGTAGTTATAATATTACTGATATAATATCGTCATGTTTGCCAACAATTTTTCTAGCCACAAATTCATATCAAGGGACCTGTCATAGGGTCCTAACCCAAATACTGGGAGTGCCTGGTGTTCAGTGTTTGGGTACAAATTACTCCCAAAACCACTGACCTTTAGCACCATCATCCTACTGCCACAGATAAGCCTGTCAGATGTTCTTTCCGTCATGAAATCTAAAAATAATCACACACCGAACACAAATTCTTCATAATACAGCTACAGTAAAGTGTTACTTTAAAATTAACTGAAAAATAACTTTTGAATTACTACCGTTCTCTAAGGATGTGCTTAACAGAAACTACAGATTTCTTAAAAATAATAAGTTACAAACTAAGGGGAAAAAAACTACAACACATCAATTCAGACTAAGTCTCTCTATTCATATGTGTAACTCACAATCATCACAGCCCCACACACAGGCAGTGTGTGGGTTGTGAGCATGCTACTCTCCCCAGTGTGTGTGTGTGTGTGTGTGTGTGTGTGTGTGATCCTCCACCACAGACCACTGATCACATCAGTCCTAAACGCAGAGCTGCAACTGAGCTAATGCTGCAGTTGAATAATTTAAACACAGAGAAAGAGAGAAAAGCGTTCCCTTTTCCCCTTTCTGTCAAGTGTCCAAACAAGGCTTAATAATTCTGAGGAAAATGTCAATAAGACCGTAACAGCATTATGACAATTCACAAGTATGACTGAAAATCAACCTGGGAAGGTTTTTGTTTATTTATTTTGCAGTTTTATGCATTATTTTTCCTACTCTAAACTCATTTTAAAATGCTTTTTAAAAACCAAAAAAAAACAAAAACAAAAACAACAACAACTTTGTTTGCCCCTGTGTTTACTGACACACACAAGCAGACAAACATGAGTAGCCTCTGGAAGAGAGATGCAACTCAGGCCATTAGATATAAGCATGTGAATATGAACCACAGGAGGTGGAGGAGGAGTCAAAGCAGACCGAGCAGAATGAAGAGGGGAAGGAGGAGGGTTGACATGGAGGGGGGAGGGGAAGAGAAAGGAGTCAGTGCACTGAGCTAAATGGTGACGGGTAAAAGTCAGTTTTTTATACTGTTATCAATGCTGATTGTTTTCTTTAATTTGGTTCATTAACTATTCTTGTCTGATGCTCTTATATTGCAGTACAGACAGCCTTAAGTCTGACTTCAATGTCAGACATTCACAAAAAGTGTTGTAGTTTGCAAAGCTCAATATTAACAAGATACTGAAACAAAAACTCTATTAAATGTGACTTAAGGGGGGTGATCTGGCCATAACTTTACCCAAGGGTTTAGTTAACTTATATGATCACATAATTAGTTGTACAAATTGTTTTCTAAACACAAAGCCTGTCAATACAACTGAAGGTCCAACTTGCAATTTCCTCATCCATTTCCCTCTTAATACATGTGTAGACGGACACTTAACTATGACCACATTCAAAACACTTTTTCTGTACTTTAAGTAAGTACTATTGCTGCCCTTGCAAAGTACACACTGTTTAATGCAGCATTCATGTAACTGGGACATACTACTTTGTCATATGCATCCCAAAACTTTGATGGTCGCAGTCTGCAGTGTGAAATTAGTCACCCTCTGTCTGACATCTTGGGAGCTCAAGCTTGTTTGTACTTGCACAAGACTGACGTAGTGATATAACTACTTGGACGATTGTGGGTCAGAATTGCCAGAAAAGCAAAACCTGACTGGCTGTAGTGGAGTCAACATTAACGCAGTCACTGCCCTGAAATCCAAACTATCTGTGCACACAAACTGACTCACAACATGAGCCTCTGCCTATTCGACAGATTTTCTAAAACTAACCATATGTAAGATACTTACTGGCTGATCTCATACGTTCTAAATAAATTAAACAAAGAAACATAAATCAGCCTTTAATTCTCTTTCCCACCGAAAACAATTGACTGGAAGTCACATTACAATTTATATAACATGGACAAAGAGCACACTAAGCATTGGCGCATTTTATTTAAATTTTTAATCCCACAAAATTACCAAAGCATATCAATAACAGTACAGATAACTGTCAATGCTAATAAGGAGTGAGGATATCAATATTTGCCAATAGTGAATAGTCTAGTTTGTCAGAAATAACAGTAAAAAGTGTAGGGACAGACACTTCTCATACAAACTTCTACAAACCTCTTTGACTGAGAGGGATTTTGCTTCCTCATATCTCTTAAACCACCCACTAACAATGCAACCACTCCCATACCACTAATGTATTATAAAACAAGTATTTAAAGGTCATCGGTGACCTGATTATTTACAAGGGCACCAGTATCGCATGCCTCACAGCTCGCCTATCAAGCATGACTTCACTCACACTGTGGAAATCAGGAGAGTATGATGAGCAGCTTCAAAGATACAGCCAATCTGTCTGCTGACTGTTGTGTCCTGATCTTTCACACGGGTCTCATTTAAATCATTTCAGCAATTTTGCACTCTCGGTGAATGACTGAAGAGTAGCACAAACACGCCAGGCACCTAATTTTAGCTAGATGAATTAGCTACCTCGTTATGTTAACAGGATTCGGTGGCTAAGTTTGAAGAGCGTAATGCTTAGTGGTTGGTAAATTAGAAAATGTTATCACCAGAAATCCCTGAAATTGTTGACGAACTGTTGAACTTTTGATGGCCTGTTTCTAATAAACACTAAGAGAGAAAAAAAAAGGTGAATTTAGCCACTTCACTTTAAATGTAACCCCCTCACTTTAAATTTAACTGCATTATTTATCACAGAGTATATCTTCAATGTAGTTGAAAATCAAAGAAAAACACAAATAAATACATGGAGGCAAATTAATTAAAAATAACTGGGGACCAAGGACAGGAACAGAAAGTCTATGGGAGCAGACAGGGGACGACAAGAAACCCAGTCGGAGGTAGACTCAGGTGCTTTGGGTGATCTGTGCAGAAGCCACAGGGAAAGTGCCAGAGGGTAAAGTGCAGAGACCCCTGACCTGAAGGAATGGAGGGTAAGCCAACGACCAGCCAACACCTCTGCTGTGTGCCGCCAGAAGAGAAACGGGTGAGAGATGCTGTGGCGCCCGTTGTCTCACTCCAGTCTGCTTCTGCTGTTGTGTCATATGTTGATTGTGCAACTGAACAACACACCTTTTGCGTGCCACTCGTAGCATGCTCCACTCTTAGGGAGGCTGTTACAAGACAGGGAGGAGCACTCTTTTGGTTTGTTCATACCATACTGGGACTTTACGTTTTGTGTTTTAATTACAGTTTGCAACTAATGCATTTAAGTGAAACAATCAGACATTCTATTGGCCTATTTTGTCATTGCTATTGGTGTCTCACTGTCACATATTGCTATCGTTTTACTGTCTGAGCCCAGTGGATGGCTGGGCTGACTTTGTGGCCTCCTTGAAGTCAGACTGAAATGACTCCCTGGTCTTAAAATGCAAACATTTATCATTAATTTAATGCATTTGAAGGAATTATGTAAGCAAATACAGACAGGCTGCTTTTCCCTGTGAGCTAGAAACTTGTAGATATCTACAAACATGCTTATTCTTTTATAGATTTAATGCAGACTACATCTGTCAGGTAAACTTGGTACAGAATGTCACTGTATTTTTCTGCACTCGGCGTTATCAAATCTTTTCAGTTAGTATTCTAAAAATGTATGGATTTGATATACAGTCATTTGGCTGAAGGCCAGAGCAGCAGCAGCGTCAGTCAGTCAGGACCAGAATAGTGAGGACATTCCTGCTCAGCCTGAAATAAAGCCTGCAATCTGAGCTCCCCGAAACAAAGAGTGGCAGGCCTAACAATAAACATTGGCCCACCCAAAACAAAGATCAGACAAACTGGGGCACACATAGACACAATTATACACCCCGAAAAACACATCCAAGGCTTCGAACTGCAAGAAGGGTGTGCATGTCTAAAAAACAGCAACATTGTAATCAGTATATTTTTAATTCATCTGAAGTCATGGCATTTCTGGGATACTACAACCATTTAGCATCATTACTTCACTCAAACACACACGCACACGCACACATACACACACACACCACAGAGGCAAGGTAATAAAGTAACAAAAGGTGTCCACTAGACTCTGGGACATCAAGTGCAAAAAAGGAAACAAAAGGACAGAATGACTTCCTGTTTTTCTTCAAAGAACTTCTCCACCTCCTGCCGAGCATAAAAACCAGCCATATACTGGGTTAAGTGCAACTGCAGCTTCTACCAACCCCAGTCTCAACATTGTCTCAGTGGGAAATTCAATTTTGAAGCCACTGGGAGC